TGGGAGGAAGAGGGTAAAGGGGGGGAAATTGGGGGACATCTGTAATACTGTCAACAATAAAATTAAATTTTAAAAAAAGAATCAAGGATTAATGCAGACACACAGGAGATAGAATATATGAAAGAGACATAAAATGTACTGGAAAGATAAAATAAAGCAAATGTGGAAGAGTCAGAATTCCAAGAGATCAAGACTGAGATTTTCTAGAATTATTGGATGAATGAATGTAAACTTCAACCATAAAATAAGAAGCCCATTAACAAGTGAACTCTTTCTTGTTCAGTATACTTGACAAAGTTACAACGACTAGATTTTCTACTATTTTTAGAGGTGATCATGTTGTGAGGCAGAGATGGTATTTTCATAGCATTGTATTGGTTGGGCTTAAAAAGTAGGTAATATTGTGAAAAATATTCTGCCCAATTTGAATTTTCCCCATCTGCCAAATTCACTCTGTTTCTGTCCACAACATTACTTTGCCGTTTTTAGTAAAAGCTGAGAGACATTGGAATCTAGGCTTTAAGGTGATGTTGAAATCCTTGGATCCCCATAAAGTCCAGTACAGTATTTGATGCCTAGTGATTGCATAAGGAAGGTTGTTGACTGACACTCGGTATGATCATGTCAGCAACAACGGGAGATAAGAAAGCTTACTGAAAGCAACATCTGAAAGAAAGTAACCTAACAACATTTTCCCAGACCTTGAAATAAAATTAGATTTAGCAAAAACCATCATAATGCAGATGTACCCTAGCCCAACCACAGGAAGGGCTCAGGTTGTAGTAAAAATAATCTTAGCTAATATTTATGGATCATTTTCTCTTTGCCTGGCACTGTGCTAAGCATGTAATGAGGGGAAAGCAGAAATTATTTTACATCTTATTCAAAAAATGTTCAGCCTACATAACTGAAAACAAGATGCTTATATTCTCTAAATGCAACACTGAATCCTAAGCCTGACATACTCAGCTATTGCCATTGTAATGCCAGGAGGTATCACAAGATAAATAAAATTAATTTTACTTTACTTTAACTTAGAAAAGTAAACTTCATGTTATGAAAATTTTTTAAAATTCATGAAAAGGTTGGGGTTGCTGAGAACTTTTTTCTCTGAATGCAGTAAAAACATATATAAAAGAATACAATACCCATGGAAGAATGGTCAGAAAAATGTTTCTTGGTTTATCTATTTGGTAAGTTGTACATCTACCAGCTATAGCATAGCCTTGGCCTCAGGGCAGCAAGTCTCACAGCTGAGGGCATACCAGCATCACCATGAACCCTGTGAAAAATGTATACTCCTGAGCCTAACTAGAAGGATTATGATTTAGCCAGGTTGAGTTGGAGTCCAGAATGCTGCCCTTTTCACAGTCTCCACAGGTGTATGTGAGTGGGTAGTCCCTCACAAAACTCTTTTTTTCTTAGGAGAAACAGAACCTTAAGCCCTCCCTTTCGTATGAACCCTGAGAACCCTGAACAATTCCCATTTAACCGCAGAACTAATTCTATTTGCAAGGGTCCAGTTTGGTCTGAATCCCTAAGTGGCTCTGATCTGGATCCATGAATATAGGGACAAATCAAAGCCATAAGGATTTCCAGGCATGAAGTAAACTGCTATTTATTACAGCAGTATTTTTAATAATTGATTCAAAAGCATCACGCACTTAAAGAAATTCTTTTCATACACTTATCTACCCTTCCCCTCCACTAAGAAGAGAACTGTCTCACCTTATAGTCATTATGGTAATGTGCCATTTTCTCTTCGCCTTCTACTTCAGATTCACTTTCAAAAATGAGAAAGACTAGTTTGGGCAAAACAGATATTTGTAACATTTTTCTATTTGACCTGAAGGGTGAGCGGTCAATATGTTTACCTGATTCCATTACAGCCAATTGGACACCAAGCCTCATTAAAATACCATGTTGAATGGCTAGAACCAGGAGGCGGAGAGCATATGTAAACATCTTTAGTAAAACACAACTGAGTTTGCTCTTACTTTGAAACAACCCTTTGAAATACCCTTCAGGAGCTGTTGCATTAAGATAGAAAATATTGCAAGCATAGATCCCAGTTATTACTAACCCATAAGGTCTTGTCGTTTCTGTTTAATGTGTGAACCACAAGCAGTTGCTCTTACTCAGAGAGAGACAATCATGAGAGAGAGAATCATGAAATATATTTAATTCAACATCTACTTATCAACATGGAATTCCCCTGCCTACTGAACTTTATATTACTCAATGTTCATTCCAAAGGGTTAAGTATATATCCTTTTTTTCTCTCTATAACTTTTTGATGACTTTGCAAACCAGTCAACAATTCAGCACAAAGGCCTCCAGAGTCACGCTGGCATGTTGTGACAGAATCACAGGACTATGTGGGATTCCTCCCATTCTGAGAATGCCCGAACCATGAACAGCAGAGATAAATGAAAGCAAATGTCAGAGCCAGCACAGCCTGAGAGAGACCTGAAACCCAGACTCCACAATCTATGGGGAAAGCTTTCTACTGTGGCATGGAATAGAGGTGACAGATGGAAAATGACAAGTCTTCTAAGAACAACCCTTGCTTTGCTCTTCCTTGGCCTCTTTGGGGTCCTGGAGACGACAATATCGTGCAGAAATGAAGAAGGTGACACTGTGGATTGGTAGGTAAATGAAATGCAAGGTTTGTTGCATGCAAATAGAAAGCCAGAGTGTAGAAGTAAACTGGTATACTGTGAAGTCCCAAAGGAGACTTCTACCAGACCTCTCCCTTAAGAAGACAGGAAATTAAAGTGTGTAAATGGGCTAACTATCTAGATAAGTGTAGGCTTCTGAGTGAGGGAGCTTCCCCCTGAGAAAGAGCTGAGCAGCCCCATGGGCCTGACTCACTGCTCTCAATGGGGCAAGGCTGCTGGCCGCAGGTGTGGGTAGAGCTGACAACTTCTCTCAGTTGGCAATTCCCTTTAATTGCACCGTGGCTTTGCTAACAGAACCCTTCCAACATCCTTTTAGAGGCTGACAAATGAGAGAAGGCAGATTACTTTCTTTCCGACTCTGGAGCTTACGCTCCTTATTATGACAGTGAGAAAGAGGGCGTGATCGTACACAGTACTGTCTGGTTAACCTCGTTTATTAGGTAGCACAAGAAGCTATTGGAGTGGGGGATAGGTCAGTGTTCTCTTGAACAGTGCCAAAGAGTCTAAACACAGCTTTGCATCATGGCCATGGATTCCCCTAAAGCTTTGATCACTTTTTCACTCTTTAATTAGGGTATTTTAGTTTGCCATTATGGCTGGCATCAAGCTTTGTGTAAACTTCAGGCTGGAGAACACAGGCACACTCACTCAGTCTCTGCAGCAGCTACTGAGCTCATCCCAGGTCCCGTGCTAGCTTTGAAAATACAAATATGAACAAAACATCATTCTTGCCCTCAAGGAGCTCATTGTTATGTGTTAAGGGTATAGATGGGACACTGGGGAGCATAGAGCCCAAAAGGCTTCTCTGAGGAAGTAGTTTTGAACTAAGTTTTAAGAACAAATATAAGTTAGAAAAACAAGGGAGATACAAGGGCATCTCAGGCCAATGAAGGAGCAATGAGGAGGTCCAGAGACTAGAATCAAGGGGGAGAGTTTGGAAGCAGTTCAGTATTGCTGGCACTTTAGGGGAAGGTGAGGAGATGGTAGGAGGTGAGCTTAGGGAAACAGGTGAAGGCCAGATCAAAAAGAGCTTTATGTACTGAGACCCAGAGCCTGAACTTGACACTGAAAAGGAGCTACCGAAGGACTTCAGGCAAGGAAGTAATGTGGTCAGATTTGCATCTTAGAAAGCCCACTAGCAGTACTGTGGAGGCTGGCCAGCTGGGGACCAGTCAAGAGTCATAAAGACCAATATGACCTTTGCAGCAATTCAGGTGAGAAGAGGTGTGGACCCACCTCTTCTTAGAGAAGTGGTAAAGTGGTAATGCAAACAGAGAGGAGGGAACACTCTGAGAAGACTTAGTAATGGATTGGCTAAAGGTCGTAGAAGGAAAGAGAAGTGAAGAAAGACTTTCAGGTTGCTGGCTTCTGTGACTGTGTGTGTTCCCTAACAGCAGGGGACGAGTAGATTTGGAGCAAAATATCACAAACTTGCTTTCAAAAATATAAAGATGAGCCTCTCTGGAACATCCTTGCATTTAGGTTTATCTGGCCTCAGCATAAAGATCTGGGGTAGAAATCAATTTGGGAATCTTGAACATATAATTGGAGATAATCACCCAAGTAAAATATTTAAAAGCACTAGTTCTCAACTGTTGTGTCAGGGCACACAGATAGTTTACACGCCCTTCACTGGGGGGCCACCAAATTGTTATCAGCATTTAAAAGTTTTTGTTGCCATAACTAAATGGACACATTATTTAGCAATATCAGAAGGAATGCTGAGCTCAGCAGATGGTTAGACCATCTCAAGCTGCTATAATTTACTGTGAGTTAAAGGGCAGAGTAATACTAAGTCAGCACCAAAGAATAATTTCGTGCTTCCTGCCACATGTGAGGAGCTTGCCCTGAGACTAAGAAAGCATGGCCAGGGCAGAAAAAAAGTTTACTTAAATGGAAGCATAAGACTAAAGAAAACCAAGTACATAGTGAGAAGCTCTTATAGGCAGTTGAGACACTGTTGTGTGGCAATAGTGAATTCATTACAGTGTTTGCTTTACTGTGAGTGTTTGAGGGTTAAATGTGGGATCTGTGCCACTGGGGAGTATTTGGGTAGATAGGGGTGCTTTTGCCCTCAGGAGGATTTCAACAATGTCTGCAGACAGTTTTGATAGGCACAACTGGGGAATATACTGGCATCTAATAGGTAGAGGCCAAGGATGCCACCATGCACTGGTCAGTCCCCCATGACAAAGAATGATCTGGCTCAAAATGTGGATAGAGCCCCTTGAGAAACCCTGAGCTAGACGATCCGAACACGCTCACACACTATATTGGTCCAACTACCGCTCCTCCCCAAAAGAGATATACAAACAGGACACAATAGTAGAAGAAAGCAAAGCACATACTTAATTAACTGGCCTTGGCCCTGAACTCTCAATGCAGAGCATTCTGATATCTGAGTTGAAGAACGTGGCTTAGGCCAGAAGCTCAGGGGAGCCTCCACCTACCCTAAAGCCCAAACTCAAATCTCAGACCCAGCCAGCCAGTTGCAAAGATGAACATACAAGAAGTTAGGGCAGAAGAGAAAAGCACACCAAACACTCCAGTCCAGGCCTGGGCCTCGGCGTTCTCCCCAGCGTAGCAGCACGGACTGTGGAAACAATAGGGAGGCACTCTCAACATGCATGTACTTTCACCGCAGGAATCCCACCCACCAGGCCAGGTAATATCACAGAATATGTCCAGGCAGATTCCCATTTCCTTCTCTGGGAATGAGCAAGAATAAGGCGGGCAGGGGAAGGCTAAGAGCTTGAGCACTTCCCTTCGCTTGGATGCAGAGGCCTTTTATAAAATGTGAGTGATATGAAATATTTAAGTGCTTAACACAGAGGCTGCTATCAGGATAGCAGTCAATAAATGCTAGTAATTCATCATTATCTCCTGTTAGGTTTATCTTTTACAAGTTACCTAAAAGGCAAGACAAGGAAAGTAGAAAGACTGGGCTAGAGTACCTGTACCTAGACTCTACAAGCAGAAGCTGGAGGACAAGTAAGCAACTAATAAATGCCACCGGGAGTGCTTTGGGGAGGACATTAGCACAGCTGTATGAAGCATATGCCTCCAAGGTATGTTATAGTTAATTTTTCATTTGAATCATAGAAAATGTGTAAGACAGAATCCAAAGCTTCCAAAAGATTTTGACTGCTCAGCTATCCACCCCCCCAATCCTAGCAACTTGATCCACAACCTGAATCAATCTGAGCAAGACCTTAGGGGATATGTCATCAGACTCTACAGCAGTGCTTTTCAACTGCTGTTCCACGGCAGACACACTGGGGTCCCGCAAGAATTTTTAAAACACACAATACCTGACTATTTAGTCAGGGGCACTGACTTCTTTTCCCTTAGACTGTCAAATGAAAAAATCACAACAGCCAACACTACAATAACCATCTGGTGTGAATAAATAAAAATTATACCCTATCTTTTTTGTCCAGTTGGCAAAAATACAGATTTTTTGGGGTGCCGCAGAACTTTAGTAATTAGTTTATGTGTGCCATGAGCTGAAAAAGGTTGACAATCACTGCTGTACGGTAATGTCAAATTGTTGGTACATTCAGCGTCGTGCCCAAAGGTATCACTGGGCGAGGCATGTAGTACTAATTACATGTTGAAGTCTTCTGGCTGCCAAATTCCGCCAGTTTGCTCAGTACTTGCTGTCTTATCCCTCTAATGGAAATAAGGAGGAGAGCCCTTTCCCCGTACAATGTAATGCAGATCTTTGATCAACATGTCATGAGCTATGGGGTTGTTCATGCCATGGTGGTGGTGAGTAGGGGTGACCTATGTAAAGGGTCACTCAGACTTCCTTTTAATGAATCTTTTTCAAAATGCTAGGTTGAGGGCTAGGACTCTAGTTCAAGACCCTAGATCTAACTTGCCTAAATGGAGATTAAACCTGCTACCTGGACTTCATCAGGCGGTGAGCTAACCAGTAAAAGAGATATAGGTAAGTAGGCCTACTGGCTCAGTGAGGGCAGTCTCCCCATGCTCCAGGCACCATCTGAGGTTCAGTGACAAGACACTGCTTTCCAATGAGGGGTGACAAGTCAAATCAAACAATAATCAATGTCCAATTACACTCATGTATGCATTTGCCAGCTAACAACTTATAGAGAAGTAAATACATAAAATGCTCAGCATTTACAATGTGCCTGGGCCTTTGTATATGTTAACTAATGTATTTATTTATTTATTATTTAATTTTTGTTAATCTCACCCAAGGATATTTTTTCCATTGATTTTTAGAGAGAGTAGAAGGGAGGGAGGAGGAGAGAGAGAGAGAGAAACATGGATGTGAGAGAGACACATTGATTGGTTGCTTGCGGCATGCGCCTGACCAGGCCAAGGATAGAACCTGCAACCCAGATACATGCCCTTGACTGGGAATCGACCCTGTGCCCCTTCAGTGTGTGGGCCAACATTCTAACCACTAAGCCACACTGGCCAAGGCTGTTAACTAATTTAATCCCCACAACAATACTGTGTTAGACTCTGGCACTGCTGCACATATGGATCTGAGTATTTATTCAAAATGTGCAAAGCGCTGTTACTGTGTATGCTAATATTCACTTTTTCCACTTGCCATTAAGACCAACCTTCAGAGCCAAGTTACAAAGTCAAAACTTATTTGTAGGCTGTTTAAGTAACTGTGATGTGCCAAGCACTGCTCTAGGTACTTTAAAAAAATATTTTATCTCAGCAAGAACTCTGTTTTGAAATAATAGATTATTATGTAAAATCAAAACTGCCTGCAGCTGCTTCTGCTTTCCAGGGTTGGAGCTGCAGACCTAGAACACAACTCAGAAGTGAGAAAATACACACTTACATTGTTCCCTTTCCCATCTCAGAGACTGAGGAGTGTGGGGTGGGAACCACATTGTAAAGCATCTGTCAGTTACCTTAGTTGGGGCAGATGGTTCTTAGTCTGGCAGAATATAAAAATGATCTTTGAAGTAACTCCAGAGCCTAGAAAAGCAAGAGAGCTAACCTGCTCTGCAATACGAAAAAGGGGTAGATCGGCCCAGCCGACTTGGCTCAGCAGTTGAGTACCAACTTATGATCCAGGAGATCTGTTCCATTCCCAGTCAAGGCGCATACCCGGCCTGTGGGCTTGATCCCCACCAGGGGGTGTGCAGAAGGCAGCCGATCAATGACTCTCTCATCATTGATGTTTCTATTTCTCTCTCTTCCTCTCTCTGAAATCAATAAAAATATATATTTAAAAAGGGGGAGTAGATCGTCGTTAGGAATTAAAAAGTAGAAGAAAAATGGAGGGATTTGGGGGACAGGTCAGCTTGATAATGTACAACCATTTAATGTTCATACCTTCAGTAAAACCTGCTCATACACAATGCCTTGAGCGATAGGCTCTAGGGGAAAAAATTACCGTAAAGGGGTTGATTTCCATGTCTGATTGGCGTGGAGCTGAAAGAAGAACAACAATAGTGGGTGATATCCAGGTGAGATTTGGTGTTTTTTGGAAACAAACTATGTGACCTTGAGAACATAATTTCCCACCTCTTGGCCTGGAATTGAACTTCTCACTGCGAGTAGAATGCAAGATCAGACCAAGTGGTTTTAAATCTCAGATATCAAGGTCACCTGGGCCAATGTCTGGATTACATTTAAAATTGTTTCTCTTCTTTTGCCTTTGTAAGTAAGAACCTTCCATATACCCTCCTAATAACACTTACCAAACTACGCTGCAGCTGCTTGTACTTGCCTGTCTATACTGCCTGCTAACCTGGGGGCAGAGACCATACCCTTCTTGTTCAACACCCACTAGTCAAAATAATACCTAACATATGTGTTAAAGGAATACAGCTGTCCAAAGGCCCATGCTTACATCTGCCTGTTCTTAAGTCCATGATCTTTCCCTTGTATCGGAGAGCCTCTCTCCCCACTACGGCTACAACCCCTATAACCTTAGCTGGCTGTTCAAACCTGGTTAGAATAATACACGTAATCTATTCTAAGAATGAATTTCCTCGCTGAATCTTTCCCGAGCCTCTCCACATTGCACCCCAAAGGCACACAGTGGCCCATTACCACATTCGCTGCAGGCTTAAAGAAGAACTGTCAGAGGTCTCCAGAGGACGGGGTCAATGCCAATGGTAGTGTTGGTCAGCTGTGGAAAATGAGAGTGAGAAAGCAGCTTACTTTCCTGATAGTTGTAAACGCAGTAGCCAAGAATGCTACACAGATTATGTTGTGAGTTTTTTTACAAATGATTTCAGACTGCATCAGATAATTAAGCTACTATAAGAGATTCAGTTATTGACTTTTTTCCAGAGAGAAAACAAGGGCCTTTTTTAAGGAAATGGGTTGTCCTTTTCTGCTTTTAATTATGTCGCTGAGATTTTTTTAATATCAATTTTATTGGCTTCAATAAAGGTCACTGCTTCATGACACAAGTGAAATGAAACCACACAGAACAAATATAAGTAACTTTCTAACACATAACACTGAAATATTCTCAAAATAGCAGCTTTATCTTGGCTGAGACTTGGCCAACTGTTTGGAGAATTTATTAGTATTTTGCGTTACCAGAGGAACCCCAATAACACATACTGAATTTCACCACTTTTTCTAAGAAGGGAAGTACCAAGTGTGAAGCGATACAGAAAGGAACTGAAGAAAAATCCTCCCTTGTCAGTGAGGTGGGGGAGCCGAGAATGAGAAACCCTGATTAAACACAGAGCTATGACTAAGAGGCGAAGCACAAAGTAGGCAGAGGAAGTCAGATCCTCACAACCAGTTCTGCATTGTGCCTATAATATCAACAGAAAAAAACCCAGGTGTAATCCTTGGCTGGTGTTCCTACTTCATTTCCTGAACAAATATTTAAGTACTTTTTTATTATATATTGGTTGCCAAATCAGAATCATGGGTTCAAAACAACCAAGAGAAATAGGAATGTCATCCTCACACACACACCACAATGCATAGGGCTCCTGTCACACAAGACAAAGCCATGCATGGTTGAGAACGGACTTCCTGCCCCTTGCCTGGTAGGTCCCAGAATTCATGTTGATGAGGAAGCTGCCTATGAGGGGAGCGGATGACTTCTCATGTGTATTAATGAAAGCCCTGCATCGCAGGCTGGGTAGCTGGTAGAAATGTCATGAGCATTTGTAAGTGGAGGATTTGCACCATTGTAACCCTAATGTGCTCCTGCAGAATAACAGCACCGCCTATCTAATATACAATGATGGAGTCCCCAGATCTGTGAATTACAGCAGGAAGTATGGACACACCAAAGGTATGACAAAGGCTCTTAGTTTCTCTTTCCTACTGGAAATCAACATTTTCTTAAGCATTTCATCTTCAATACTCTTATATTCCACACTAAAAAGAAAGCTTTTCTTTTTAATGCTTTATTTTGAATTATCAAAGCACAGGCTTTCTCTATCACAAGTTAAAATTACATAATTTGACTGGGCAATTTCCGTTTCACAAATGCCTTTTTCTTAACATATTTTTAGATATATGCTTTATAACAGAAATTCATGCACTGACTACTGGAAAAACCAGCCTCTATGTGTGTGTGTGTATGTGTGTGTGCATGTGTGTATATACATATTAGCCAGGTTTATTGAGGTATAATTTACATAGTGTAAAATTTACTCCTCTCAGTGTCTAGTTCCCTTTGAAATAAACATTTACTTTTAAATGTTTACTTATAAATTAAAAACTTATTTTAAAATAGTTTTTACATTATAGTAATTCTTGTCATATAGTTATTACATATTATAGTGATTTTATTATAGTAACTTTTGGTATTTTTCCATTTATAAGCTAGACAAATTTTAAATGCCAGTAAACAAAAATAAATATGTAATCTTAATACCCATTAGATAATCATACTTAATCCTTTCTACTTTTTCAATCAAGCATATTTTAAAACATTTTAATAAAACTATTATGACTAGTTTTCAATGCTTTTTCAAAATAATGTATAATGAATAACTTTTTATGGCAGCAAATATTCATAAAGTTTCAAACTCAAATGTTTTCAAGGACAAGGCAAGTAATGTCAGCAAGTGGGCTGAACTAGCAAGGTAACTGGAAAAGTATAGAGTACGCACTTGATCTAATAGGGCAGTTACTGCTCAGCATAGCTTATAGGAATGCAATTTTTTCAGAGGATGTTGGAAGCTAGTATTTGTGGGAAATCTCACCAGTTTTTAAATGTTGGCAGTGCATTCAGCATTTTAAAAATACTCTGCAAACACAATAATATGTATCTGCAGGCTAGGTTTGCCCTGTGGGCTGCAGTTTGCAACCTCTGATTAAGAATATAATTTGTAATGGCTGTCAAATGTCATGAGCATTGAGTGCTTTTGATTTAGCCAAGTTGCCATCCTGATAGTCCTATTTGCATGGAATCCAACAATTTTTATAATATGCCACATTCTCCTACTTCTGCAACAACAACCTCCCACCACCACTCTCATTCCACTCTGTTAGTTGCTACAAGGGTTTGGGGGGAAAAACACTGGAAAAGGGTTGGGGCCTAATGTCAAGTGGAGGAGTTCTCTTTGCCAACAGGTGCCTTGACATCCAGTGGCAATCATACCAGGAGGTTAAGATTTCAGCCAAATAGCACACTCATCTGGGCAGAAGATAGCCCCCGAAAGTTATTCAACTCAGATAAACAACAGAATTTTGAACATTTTCTACCCACACATAGGTATGGATTCCATATGCACCGAGGGAGCAATAGTGTGCTTTCTTAAAGGGTGTTTTTGAAAGAGAGATAACTGGCAGGCATTTGGTTTCCACGTAACATTAAGGCAAATGTGAATGAATTTTATGTTTGCATGGTTATATGCAAACTAAAAAGTCTTGTTAGCATACCCAAACTACCCTGATATATTTATAAACACATGAATAGCCATAGATACCTGTCGGACAGGGTTCTTTTTGCCATGTCACAAGATGATGAAAATCTGTTTTCTTCTTTTCTGGCTTCCATTTTATTTTGCTCTAGAGATTTTTACTAAACACAATTAACTGAAATGCTTCAGCATGGCTTTCCTTTATCTCTCTTTGATTCTTTGGGGGGAGGGAGGGGGGCTTGTGCAATTGGGTGATTCTTCTGCAAATAAATAAGCATCCATTCCTTACAACAAATTACTGCAAGTACATTTCTTCATTTGATATTTTCTCTTTCAACTCTGCTTTTGAAAATAGCTGCTTAGCAGTGAAGACATATCTAAAGCTTGCCAAGTGACTGTATAGTTTAACCAGGTCAAATTCCAATTAAGCAAATTTGCATTCTGTCAAAACAAATTTTCTTTGTGGTTTCAACATGAAATTCCTTTTAACTCTTCACAGGACGGCTGACCTAGATTCCCTTTTGTGGTGGCTTATTATCAGAAATGGGGCGATGCAATGTGTGCCTGAATTGGTTTTGAAATCTTTGAGAAAACTGGCTTGTGATTATCAGCCTAATAAAATATTAGCCTGAAGTATAAATGAGCTTAAATGTTGTAACTTTGAACTCTATTTGAAAAAAAGGAGCTTTGTTTTTCTAATTTATCTGTATTAATTGTATCTTTGATAGGTGTACTGCTGTGGAACAGAATCCAGGGATTCTGGTTAATTCATTCTGTTCCCCAGTTTCCTCCACTTCCTGAAGAAGGCTATGGTTATCCGCCCACAGGGAGACGCAATGGGCAAACTGGCATCTGCGTAACTTTCAAGTACAACCAGTATGAAGCCATAGGTAACAGAGTGTGCAAAAAAGTAGATAGAAATGTTGAAGAAGGGGCTATATTAATATGTTTGGGCTATATTAATAAATTGCTCACCTCACTTGTTTCTCTATTCATAGAGCTTCTGATCCCTTCATTCTAATATTGGCTTGGCCATAGCGAGACTTGGGTCAGGCTTGCTTACTGGAACTTGTTTTCCTGGTCCTTCAATGAATTCTATGAACTTGATCAGGGGTAGCAGTTTCAAATGTCTTCAGAGGCCAGGCAGGTAACAGAAATGGGTGAAACAGGTGAGTGTTGCTCAGGCAGTGTGGATAGTGACAAACTGGGGTGTTGACTCTCCCCCCAGCTTCCCTCAAAAGCTTCAGCTCCATCATATTATAGCTCTGCAGGAATATAGACCTAATGATTACAGATGTCCATACTTTTTTAATAGTAACAGAAAATCTAGGGTTTGTGTGTGTGTGTTTATGAAAGACAGAGAGAGAGAGAGAGAGAGAGAAGGATCCTGCTTTTTAAATATGGTTGCAATTCTTTTTTTTTTTTTTTTTTAGGTTTTCACTTTCCTTTTCTTCTTTCTTTTTTCTTTTTTTAGATTGAATGTCCTTCCACTTTTTAAAAATCTTTATTGTTTGGAGTATTACAGATGTTCCTCCTTTTACCCCCATTGCCCCCCTCCACCAGTTCCCCCTCCACCCCAAGCCTTCACTGTACTGTTGTTTATGACCATGGGCAATTCATTATACATATAAATTCTTTGGTTAATATCTTCCCTCCCCCCCCCAAAAAAATTTGTGTAGATCTCATATTGCCTGTAGGCTGTCAACCTGACCCTTCTGAGCCCCCAGATGATCTTGCTTTAAGGTCTCAGGCTCAAATGGTCCAATTACTTGGCTTTGAAAAACTATGAGAAGGGTGGATTTGAACAAGTAACACTGTTTTACCAATCAATTTTTACTCAGGTGGCTGCTAAATAATGGCAAGGAGTGACTTACCTCTAGATAAAAGAGGTTTAGAAATGTTTTTCATTCAATTTTCATCTTATGACAAGGATTTCTGAGCCAAATCAAACACCAGTCTAATGAGTAGAGTTCATGTAATGATTAGACAGCTAAATAATATAGAACTTAGGTGTGCACATCATGAGTTGGTCATTCTTAAAGTTGTCTGATTGGTTCATGGGTGCTCTCCACTTTTGTATATGTACACATAGAAGAAAAGACATATGGCCTCCAATGCCAGGCTGCCTGGGTTTCAATGTCAACTCCATCAGTTACAAGCTTTATAACCATGGGCACATGACATGAATTATCCATTAATTCATCTATAAAATGAGAATAATGATAAACGAACTTACCTAATAATAAGATTGCTATGAGGATTAATTAGTAAATCCACGTAAAACTCATAGAACAATGCCTGCAAAGTAGGAAGTGCTCAATAGGTGTCAACTGTTTTAATCCAAAAGTTATTTGAGAGCTATTGGCTTAAAAAAGGGGAATACTTTTGTTCTGTTTTTTTAATTCACAAAAGACCTGTAATATCAACAAGATTTCCATTTGTATCTTAATTCTCAAATTTTCTTTATCATTTCTTTTTTTCAGATTCTCAGCTCTTAATCTACAACCCAAACATTTATAGCTGTTCCATCCCAGCTACGTTTCACCAGGAGCTCATTCACATGCCCCAGCTGTGTGCCAGGTCCAGCTCATCAGAGGTCCCTGGCCGGCACCTTGCCACACTTCAGTCAGCCCAGGGGCAAAACTTCCTCCATTTTGCAAAGTCTGATTCTTTTCTTGACGGTATGAAAGACCATCATCAAACAATATGCTATAAAACTCTGCTGTTGAACTATTTTGGATTGTGTAGAGGAAATTTCCTGATTATTCAGGGGAAAAGAAGTAGAGAAGGGGAGGGGGACATTTTCAGATGTCAATATGGTTTCAGTAATAATAATAACAACTTTTATCTGCATATTACTTTAGCATTTACAAAATGTTCTCCCATCCACTATCTCGATTATGTTGCTATTATTGTAGTTGTGACATCCACATATCAGGGATGAATGATGATTTTCATTCCTGAGGATATTTTCAGAGACTTATCTAAGTATAAATACTAACCTCACTATCTTTCTCCTTATAAACTCTAGACATCTTTGCAGCCTGGATGGCTCAACGGTTGAAGACAAACTTGCTTAGTGAAACCTGGCAGCGAAAGAGACAAAAGCTTCCTTCAAACTGCTCCCTTCCTTACCATGTCTACAATGTCAAAGCAATCAAGATATCTGGACAATCTTACTTCAGCTCTTATCAGGATCATGCCAAATGGTGTATTTCTCAAAAGGGCACCAAAAATCACTGGACATGTATTGGAGACCTAAATCGGAGCCCCTATCAAGCCTTCAGGAGTGGAGGATTCATTTGTACCCAGAATCAGCGTATTTACCAAGCATTTCAAGGATTAGTTTTGTATTATGAGAACTGTAACTAAACTTGGTGAATGGACATATGTACTAACATTTTCAGCATTGACAGTGGATCTTCTTCCAGCAGATTCATTTTTTATATATTGAAAGCCTATGAATGTACTTATAATCCACATATCGTCAAGTAAAACACTTTTCTCCCATGTTTGCCATTTTAAATTCTAATTAGTGGCAATTTATTTACTTTGCATTTATATTTTCTAAACAAAAACTATAATATATATAACTAAAATGAGAATGAAAGAAAAAATACTTGCCCCAGATTAGTCAACTCTCAGTTGCTCATGGACTGACTGGCAATCTTGTAGATTAAATTTCACCTCCTTCACAAAGACTTCCATGACTCTCCTACTCTTTTTTTAAAAAAAAATATTATTTTTAGAGAGAGGAGAAAAGAGAGGGAAAGAGGAAAAAAACATCGATTTGAGATGACTCCTACCAGGGATTGCACCCGTAACCTTTCTGTTCCAGGACAACGCCCAACCAACTGAGCCACATAGGCCAGGGCCTATCCACCTTTTCTTTGAAGGGAAAAAAACATCTCTTTCTCTGTGTACTTCATATTATTTACTCCTATTCCTCTTAGATTTTTTTTCTCATTGGTTTATGATTAAGCCATGCTGTTCTTGCAGCTGCTACTTACTAACTGTATGATCTTAGATCATTCACTTGAACTCTCTGAACCTTGGTTTTCTTATCTATGAGATGGAGATAATCAGCCTGACCCAGAGTTGACAATACTACTGGAATTTGAATCTGAATGACCACACCTAGCAAGAAAAGACAAAAGAAAGTTTAGAAATGAGTAATATGTTTCAAAAAATTTTTTTAATCAGGAGAAAGAAATAAAACAGCACCTAAGTGCAGCCCATCAACTTAAGAGAAATAAAGAAGTGTAACATAAAGAAACCAGAATCAAATCTAATAATCTTAATTCCAGGATGTCTTATTTTCTGTAATTCTTATCAATAAACATAACTATTATGTAAATGAATAATAATAAATTTGTATTAAGTACTAATTGCTTAATAAAGTTTGAGATATGGTTCCCAATTTTAAGAAGTTTATAATCTAGCAAAAGTAGTCATAACATCAGGAAGGACTGAAGAATAACTTGTGTTTTTTTTTATTTGCACTTTATTCTTATTTTAAAATTAATGATGACTATTATGTTATTACTGTTATTTTACTAGTGTCCTTGCCTTAGCAATGATAACTGATGGCTTTAAACACCAGAAAACCAGTGCTGGGTCTGCGAGCCAAGCTTCTTAGGCTTGTTACCATTTCCATTGCCAAAAACACTGTTCTGATCAGATGTGTCTACACCTTTCTGACTCAGTGGCTCCCACAAAAATTGATATCTTAGCATTATGAAGGAATTAACCTATCAGCTTCCAAAGTGTCTCTTTATCCTCATGGAGTAAGTCACTTTTTCTGTAAAATGTGGCTTTTGACCTTGATGCCGAAGATTTAACTTATCCCCACACATGTAGAGAGGGTTATTATCTCCATCCCCAGTAGTGGAAAAAATGAACCTCATTAATATGTCCAGTGGCCCTTCAGAGGTATGGAGGTTCAGTATTATCATGTAGCATTTGCTAATTTTTGAAAAAATTGCATGTCTGTCATTTAAAAATTACTTTTATATATTTTTTCATACCTACAAAGCACATGATTTGGTGGAGACAAAGCAAGTATAAATTGTGAGAGGGTATAGTCAATAATAACAACAATATTGTATAAATTATTGACTACATTCCCTAAAGTACAATATAGGGGATATAGTCAATAATATTCTAATAACTATGTACGGTGCCAGGTGGGTACTAGACTTATCAGGGGAATTACTTTGTAAGTTATATAAATATCTAACCACTATGCTATACACCTGAAACTAATATAAAATAATATGGAATGTCAACTGCAATTTTTTCTTAATTTCAAAAATTTAAAAATTGCAGAGAGCTTTAAAAAAATCAATAAGCAAGTACTGGTGAGGATGTGGAGAAAAGGGAACCCTTGTACACTGTTAGTGGGATTGAAAATTAGTGCAGCCACTATAGAAAACAGTATGGAGGTTCCTCAAAAAATTAAAAATGAAACTACTATGTGATCCAGCAATTCACTTCTGGGTATTTATCTGAAGAAATCCTAACAATGCTATGCAGTAGGAACTGTTAATACCCACATTTTACTAATAAGGAAATTGAGGCCTGTGAAGTTTCAGAAACTTATACAATATCACAGAAGTCTATCTGACCTGCAAGGCTATGCTCTTAGCTTCTATGTCAAGAGACAGTAAAAGGAAATGATGTAATATGGGATAATACGTATCTTGATATCTCAATACCAACCAAGACTCATGAGATCTAATGGCATTGATTTAATAACAGGTGGAGGTAAAGCTAAGTTTACCTTCCTGTCAGAAGCAAGCATGAGCTATGGTGTGTTGAATACTAACAGCCTAACTTAAATGTTTGAAAATATGAAGAGGTTAGAAAAATATGTTTTGGCTTCTCAAAGAGCATCTGAGAAGAAACAATTCCAATAAAATAGTATTAAGAGTGAGAAACTAACAAGTACAAGATACTAACTTCAAAGGCAAAGCGGTTGAAAACTTGGTCCAATAGTATAGAGAAGGAATGAAAAGGTAAAAGAGAAAGCAAAGGTGAAGAAATTCTATTGGATGAAAAATGCACAGTCAGTCTGAGTCTACTTCCCCAAAATGCAAATCCCCATACTCTAGAAAAGTGCTTTCATTCCAAGCTCAGCAGAAGTGAATCAAAATCAGAATCCATAGAATGAGGAATATAGGGATGTGACAGAGAGAAGAAAGAGAAGATGCTGGCCCACTGGAGACACACATTGAGGATGTGGTTCCTGCCGAAGGGGGAGACGGGAAGTGGCTAGACCACCCCACCCCCACATGCTAGAAAGAAATTGAACAGTCCCGGTAGTTCAAGGATACCAAACACTCTGGGCAGAAAAATATATATCTTGGTGTTGGAAGTTCCCTGTGGTGGAGCTTAGAGGCAGCCACAATAAACCAAAGAGAGTTAGTATTGCTGCCCTTCTCAAGCATGTGCCCAGGAATGCTACCCAATGATGCTGATTCCTATGGGGAGACTGGCATATGTCTTTAGGAGAATGATATTATTGGAAGGAAACTGAAACATTTGAGAATATAGGAGATGTTTTTGTTGATTCTCTTTGGGTGAAATGGGAGGATATGGGAGAGATCAATGAATAAAACTTAAGTTCTAAACTTTGGTTTAAAATAAGTACTAGAATGAAAGACTCACATCTAAGATGTGAATGTATCTTACAAAGAAGTGTAGGAAGTTTGGCTGGAAACTACTTAATGTGATATTGGAGAAAAAAATTAAAAATAAAAATAAACCTATGGCACTAGTTGGAGTGGCAGTTCTAATGTGAAAATTCCAAATCACTTCTGCTGTCCCCTTATACCTTTCTTAGAAAAACTATTTTCCACAATCTGTTGACATCAAGTGACTCTTTCCTCTCCAGCTCCAAATAACTGGCCCAAGAGTCGACCTGTGACACCAAAGAAAATAATCCATTGACCAAGGCCACCTCAAAGTCATGCACCTGCTATTTTGCTGTCTAAAAAACTTTTCTCCCAGAGTTGCACATGACTGGCCTTTTCTCATCATAGGGTCCCTCAGCTATTAAGTAATTTCTTATGAGAGGCCTTTCCTGGTCATCCTAACAAAATTAACATCTCCAGTCCCTTTCTTACACAATACCCCATCTTATTTTATTTTAGCATTTACCATTCATTATATAATATTTTCTTCATGATAGAATGTGGATTTTGTGTTCTGTTCACTGTCAAATGCCCAGGTCCTAGCGGAATGCTTGGATTATTAGGTGCTCAGTAAATATCGGCTGAATGAATGAATGAACATAAAAGATGGAAAGATCTGCCTAGATACATGTTTGAATAAAGAGCAAAATGTAATTGGAAGGGCTGTGGTAGAGAGGATTCACACATAAATTGAAAGGCAGAACTGGATGATTTTTGTGGGGGACAGCGGTGCCCTGACTGGGAATCGAACTGGAGACCTTTTGGTGCACCAGATGACACTCAACCAACTAAGCAACACCGGCCAGGCAGAACTGGATGATTTTAAGGTCTTTTTCAACACTGAAATTCTATACTAAATTGTGGTATGTGTTATAATTACATATTGGTTCAGAGAGGTGGTTAATGAAGAACAGTTAAGAGGTCTTCATTGTAGAAATGGAAAATCAAGGGCTCTTCAAGGATGGATGGAGTTGGAATGGGAGGAAAGATGTTCTAGGAGAAAGCAATGTTATGAGCAAAGTTTCAGAGGTAGACCGGAGTAACACATGAGAAGGAGACAACTGTAAGAAATGAGGCTTGACCAGAGGAGAGGATGTGCTTCGGGAACTTAAGAAAATGAGACTGGACAGGGAGAGTAGGGCCATAATACAAGGTGGGACCTTAAAGCCAAGCTATGAATTAAACTCAATATTTAAACTGGTATTCTTGAGGAGACAGATGAACATTGTGATAGAGGCGATAATTTAAAGGAAGTTAGACTATGATAGGGTCTGAGCTTTGTAATCATTTTGGACTAAACGATGTCCTTTCAGCTCTAAAACAATTTATTTTTTCTGTTCTATTCCATTTTAGGAGGTTCTGATGATAATCCTGATGTGAAATACGATGTCCTGGCTGAAGTCTGTAACAAGTGAAACATGAAAAGATAAATGTGAGAGACATTAAAAAAAAGAAAAAAAGAAAAGCTGTGAGGAGTTCATGTATAAATTAATAATAACTATAGTTATTTCCATAGTAGAAACTGCACATATAGTAGGTGCTCAGTAAATATTTGCTTGTTACCATAAAAAGATCCTATTATTAATCATTGGCAAGATATCTGCAAGCCTTTGCATAAGACTGACAATGGATTTGCATATATTCTGTCACTCAGATTCCGTTGTTACCAGTGTCGTGCAGGTGGCTGCCTGATTATGGTTACATAGAAAAGATGTTCTCTGTTGTAAACCTATGGCCCCTATGACCTATATGCCTATGGCCTTATTAGAATCATGCTCCACTCAGACCAGCTGTTATAACCGTACGTGACTAGATCATA